ATAGGTGACTCAACAGAACCAAAAACCCTCTGCATAGCTTTCCACTCACTCTGATCATCATCAGTCATCAAAAAATTTATCCGTAAATCTGGACATCTTAGTTTAATACTTTTCAGACCCTCAACTAATGTCTCCTCATGTTGTTTATTAGTTATGAAATGGGCAACAGGATAACCCTTACCAAACTCATCTGGTACAATGATATTACACAACTAAAAATCATACTGACTGATTTTATAAGTAAAATTTATACACACAACTGTTTGGGCACCTTGCTGTAACATTTTCAACTGCTCTCGGCTCTGAATGCCCAGAAGAAGGGTATCTTTAGAAAGACGATTGAGAGATTCATGTCCCAGAACAACTTCTGCACCTTGTGGCTTATACAGTAAAACAGGACTAAATACTTCATCATCATCCTCACTTTGCTTGAAGTTAGCAGTGTTAATTAAATTTCTAACATGAATGTCCAATGACATACTATCACTCGAATGATATCTTTTTCCTGTTTTCAGATGATATTTTAGTCTCCGTATATACATTTCATTGATGAAATGCTCTTTCTTTGGTTTTACTTGCCCATCCCGCTGATCTAGTGCTCCAACTCTCCCTCTCAACAATGATTTGATGTGCTTTGGCTCCATTCCAAGAGTTAAAAGACTAATAATTGTTAGCCTGACAGACTTGGGGACCTTGCGGTACTTATTATGCTTATAATCTATCTCATGGTTGTGAGATTCAACAAAAGTGACAACTACCTTCTTAGTCTCAATATCTTCTCTTACCAACATTCGAGCTGGGCAAGATTGACCCTTGGGGATGCAACCCCTTGTTTGCCACCTTCTTGATGTCTTGCGGGGTACCATTCCACTTTTACGGTGTGTTGTATCTGGAGCTTCAAGTTGACAAGTATAATATCTATACACAAATTTGTCGGTCTTCTTCAAACCACCAGGAGCAGTGAAAGACGTACAGGTATCACCTTCAATCTGTTCTTTCCACTTCTCAAATTCATTAAATGACTCTAAGGTATACTCAAAAGATTCAACATCCGTATTATGATCATCTATCATGTGACTTATCATAGCCGTTGTGTGGAAAAAAAGCTGATGGCAACCCTCCACAACACATTCCCTCTTACTTAATTCCTTATCTGAATCAGCCTCCTTCCCACACTTGCTTGTATGCTTTCTGAAAGCATATGCAGAAGAACAAACAGTTTTGCACTTGTCACATTCTCTTGAATAGTTAATGGTGGCTCTTTTCTTACTTTCAAGGACCCCACAATCCAAGACATGCTGAGCATATTCCCGAGTCGAAGATAGAGTGATGTTACATTTTTCACAATGCAAGATCTTCCTCTGATTTTCTGCTGATAGATGCTTATTGGTTAGATGATCTTGAAGTTCACTTCTGTAAAGAACAAATGAAAATAATTATTAACCAAAAGGAATAATAACATTAATTAAGTATGGCATATCACAAAATAATTTTAAAACACTTACCGATTTAAGTATTTGGCATCACATATACGACACTTTAAGTGCGGATGAAAATTTGCTATATGTTTCTGAAGATTGTCTTTGCGACCAAAGGCCTCATCACATATGGCACATTTAAAATGATTCTTTTGCTCTTTAGAACATGTCAACTGATGCCTTGCCAGATGGTATTTTCGAATAAACTCCTTTGAGCACAAATTACACTTGAAAGCATCATCATCCATGACAAATATTCAATTCTATGGAAAAGAGAAAAAGACAAAGTCAAGCAAAGTGAGGGTAGATTTCAGACAACATGAAGCTCTGCTTCCTAGTGAACTGCAAACGCATGAACATACCTTCCCAGTACCACTACCTCCAACTTGAGGATCACAAGAACACACACAGCACTTTCTTGTTGAGGACGGGAGGTAGTTTCAAAAAAGCACAGAGCTGAAAAAATAATAAGATCATTAATATAGTGGTATCTTCGAAAAACGTTTTAAATCTTTGAATTGGAAACATCATATAATCAGAAAATAGCTGATCCAATTCTTTAGATTCAAACAAGTGAGTGGAAGCTAAAATGAGAGTAAAAGGAAGAGAATTTTTGACAAAAAGGTCTGCTTATCACGAGGCTTTGTTTCTTTCTGGATTGCACATGGTGCCAAATGTAAGGAAAATGATCATTTACAAAAGCTGCATCAAGAAGCCACTATTAAATAATCCAGAAATCATCAGGCCAATAAAAAATACGCTACAAAATGAAAATTAGGTATTAAAAATCAAAACTGATGCTTTTCACAAGTAGAAACTGATATAGGTTAGACGAAGCAAATTTTTAACTGGCCCCACAAAATACTGCTTTTATCTTTTAGAAAATAAAAAACTTATTTCTATCATTGTCTAGAAATAGAAATTCCAAGAAAAAGAAAAAAAAGTAAAATTCATAGCATCATGTTTTCTAAATCTAAGTGGTCATTCCCTCTAAAACTAGAAGTTTCACATATAATAATTGACTCAAAACTCAATGGATGGACAAAAATATAAAAGCACCTGCATACCTTGAATGGTTAATCCAGTTGAAAATGTGGGAATATGTGACTTGGTAGATGAAAACACAAGGACGCCACTTTGAGCGCGCACGAGCCCCACAGCAAGCTCCAACAGGCAGGAGGCAAGTGCAGTGGCATCCTCCAGTCCAGATGTGACCCAATCTGCAACAAAAGCAAACAACCCTGCCCCTCCCCCTCTCCCCCGGCTCATCACGCCCACCTCACTGTGCCCCCTTCCACCCCCGCCCCCACCCTCGCGCCCGCTCCCGCCCAGCAGCATCAGCATTCCTTGTCTATCAGTAATAATGTCCATCCCCATCCTGTGCATCCCCCTCCCCCTCCGCATCCTCCTCCCCTCCCCCCTTCCGTTCCGGCTACCTCGGCTACCCTGTTATTGTTCCTTCTCCTGCCTCTCTACACATGTCCCTGACCCTTCTCCTCTTTCTATCATTGCTTTCCTCCAAACACACTACCAAAAAAGTATTTAATAATGATAATGGGTAATTGAAAATGAGATATTCATCTGCAGAACGGAAGTTATCCATTTACAGCAGTAAAATTATATCAATTGCGAGGAGGGCTAAGTAATTATATTTGTACATTTACAGTTACAGTTTGATTTCGTAAGAAAGCAAAAATATGAAAATTTAAAAGAATTGATTGATTGATTATGGCGAATGGGGCGCTCCACTATGGAGATGGTGTTGATTCTATTATACCGCCACCCACGGCTCCCCATCCGCCGGCCTACAAGCGCTAGGCTCCTGGTCGGCCACCTGAAAGAGGGTGTTTTGCAATGGGCCAAACCCCCCCAGGGAAACCCTAGGGGTTTCTGATCTGCACGGACCGCGAAAGACGCTTGACCGAAAGGGGGTCCCCCCCTCACTCCGCGTGAGGCGGGCCTGGGCCATGGTAATTAGGTGTAGTGTAAGCATGAGAGAGCAAGATCCCTGAACGGGCGTAAGGTACAAGGGAGAGGTGTGGCGGCCTGGCCGAAGCCAGGCAAAGTGCACCCCTCCCTAAGCAGTGGACGACACTCAGCATGCTGCAAGAAGAAAATTAAGAAAAGGGGGGAGGTAAGCGACCCTTAAATGGTCAAGAAGTGCGCCTGGGCACAGGCATTGCAGATATAGGCAAGACAAGGAAAAGGAGCGGAAGGCTCTGGAAATAAGGTGGAACGGAAGAGTAGAGAGGTGCAGGTGGAAAGCTAAGGAGGCAGGGGTAGTGATGAGGCATTGGCATTGATAGGAGAGGAGAGCAGGGGGGCGAAAGGCGAAAAGGCAGAGGAGGAGGGGAGCAGCAGAGAAGATGTAAGTGGAGGCAGGTAAAGAAGGCGGAGGGAGGAAAGCGGAGGGATGACGAGGACGGCAGAGAGCAACAGAGGAGCAGAGCGGAGAGACAGAGATGGTAGAGAGGAGAGAGGTAGTGAGGCACAGAGGGTAGAGGGGGGAGCGGAGAGGCAAAGACGGAAGATGGTGAAGAGGAACAGAGGGGCGAGATGCAATGATGTTAGAGAGGAGCTGAGAGGTGGAGAAGCAAAGATGGTAGAGAGGCAGAGACCAGGAGCAGAGCTGGTAGAGGGTAGAGAACGGCAGACAGGCATGGTAGAGCTTGGGAGCGGGGCAGGGATGCTACGAGAAACGTAGAGGCTGCGGACTTCACCTAGGCCATCATCCCTGGTGCCACCCACAGCGGGGAAGCACCCCGTCCGGCACCAGGGCCGCTCCCTGCCTCTTGAAGGCCCCGGGTCTCTGGGGACTGGCAGCGCGCCGGCCAGATGTCGTAGTAGGGGACTTAGGTCCTAAGAGGCGATAGGAGGATGTACAAAAGGAGTATGGAGAGAAAAAAATATTAAGCAGTGCACAGCAAGAGGTGAAGATAAGCAAGCCTAACGACAGTCGCGTTTAAGCATATTAGTAAGAGGAAAGGCACAGCACACACACAGGCAAGCAGGCAGCAAGGCAGCATGCGAGAGTCGTCCGAGCCTGTCCTCTCTCCAGGCAAGAGGGCCGCGAGGAGGCTTGCCACGACTGAGGCCGGCTAGTCCGACCCCAGCCGCCCTCACCCAAATATGAAAATTTAAAAGAATGGGACAAATTACTGCAGAACTTGAGAGAAAAACTTATAAAGGACACTGAAATATTGTTATAAATGCTTGAAAAATGATCATGATCAGCACTTAACAAAGAACAAAACTGCAATTGGTTTTTAAAGTTAAATTTCAATGGTTTGAGGGATAATATATAGATTTTACCATATTAGGTTTAAGCATTAATGAAAAGTGGGTGCAACATTTACAGTATTCTGAATCCAAGAGACAGCACAGCCAGAAGAAAAAACTTGCGACCAGGACACTAAATGTTGTTCATAGTTTGTTATAAAATCAAAATATGTACATGGGAAATAAGCTTAAACCTACTACTCAGAAGGTGTGCTAACATACACAGGTCTGTATGGGTTATATGGAACCAACTATTTTATCTTTAAGGCTTATTGTGCAACCTTACGATTAAAGCGGTTGTCACAATACATCACAAATATCGACCCAGAAAATAACGAAGGAAAGCTCAGTTACAGTTGTCAATCGGTTACTCTCGAGCCATCAAATACAAACCACAATTTAGAACAAAGAGATTTTAATGAGGAACTGCAAGTGACTTCTATTTCTTGTAAAACAACATTTTAAGAAAATATGTTAATAAAATTAGAGTCGACCTGTGAATATTGTACTGTATTGTTAACCAAGCTTGGAAGTCCTCATTGTAAGTCGTTGCGGAGATATGCACTCCTAAATTTAAACAATATATTTCATCAGAAATAAACTTCTGACTATTTACTGCTTCAGTTTACTGGGAAAAGATCCAAGTAATAAAAGAGGGAGAGAAAGGCTTGATCTGTTCAATTGTAACCAATAACTTAGTACACAAACCTCCTTGGAATAAATAGAACATGCGAATACTTATCTTGAGACGACGACACCAGAAGACTCAGAATATTTATCTAGAGAGATGTTGATATTGTCCGCAAGTTAGGAGCCAAGCACAGCAACAATTGACGTTAAATCTTGACGTTACATCCAAATGTCAGACACATCACTAAATAGTAAACAACCGCAGTGTAGAGTAACATGGCCTCGGAACCGCAATGTGCCTTTAGCAGCTTTGGCGAGCCCGAGCTCGCCTCGCTGCCAAGTCCCCGACTTCGGCTCTCTTCGGCCATTTTGCCCCTCCTCGTTCTCCGCCCGATAGGACATTAACGCTGCTCTACCTTGGCGCTGCCCCTCTTGAATGTTGAAATGTTATGAGCAGGGAAACAACCTTACCGCCACGCCCGACTTCTTGGTTAGCTAAATGTCACGGTTGGCAGATCGCATTGGAGCATTTAAAATTGTATTTTCAGTAATGATTGAAATGAAATAGATGTAGATTTTTAGAAAGTAAGTGGTTAATGTCATGCGTTTTGTGCGAGTGATTTGAGGTTAGCTTGTTGGCAACCGTGACGACTCAAAAGCCTCAAAATACAAACTTGCCGGAGTACTAGGCTGCATTCCCATAAGAGACTGTCCGAGCTGTCTGTCCTGTCTTTCTGTCCGCCGGGACAGAAACGACAGCGGCGCCCTCTACTTTGCCCGGTGGTGATTTCCGTAAGCTCATGAAAATAGTCTGAATTTCTCATATTTCTGTCCCGATGGACAGAAAGACAGGACAGACAGCTCAGACAGTCTCTTATGGGAATGCAGCCCTAGTCAACCAATTGACACTTTTCCTCAAGCTTTTATGATTGTGCTATTTTTTTTCGTTAGAGCAAATGGAATATCTAAACCCTGAACGAAAGGTTAACTCTTTCGTTCAAGTCTAAACAAAAGAAATTCCCCGCCATCGAACGTGTCACGAAAGCTGGTGCAGATTTAACTCCATTGTCAGTGTCTTGTTTTAATTTGCCCCGATATCCAGAAATTTTCAGTAGGGTCTAAAGATTTTTTAAAAAATTGTGCTTCGATGCAAAAATTCGTACCGAGCATCCAATTTAGTACTTCAGAAAGCTCTGCTTCCATTTTTGTTTTATTTTTTGCCTTTGCAGTTTTGTCTCGGGAGGTTCCGTCATATCTGAAAGCGGTCTGCACAGACATGTGCAATACCTGAAAAAAAGGGGTCATGTACCGATGTAAAGCGTAATTAGAATTTTCCTTTACCCTGAAAAGACAAAAATTTGACCGCACCACCCTGGCGAGGGGGGAAAGGAGGGTCGCAAGTCCGAGGCGGGGAGCGGATAGCGAAGATTTATCTCTAAAAATGTACAGATATTTTGTACCGTACAAAGAGACAATTTATTCGTCATTTGATAACACGTGTTTGCAATACAAAATTTAAATAAAATTGCGTGTAAAAATAGAAGACTTTCCAAGTATCACGGAATGGCCCCTTTGACGTCATGTAAAGTTTTGAACAAAAAGTAAAGAAGTATGAGTTTACTTGTGTAACATAACGTCCGGGACACAGTACATAAATAAATCATATTCAAGTTACTTGGGTAGGCTAATCATAGATTTCTCTCGTCCGTATGTCCAGGTTTTATCAGCTCGCTGATGCGGGGCTAATCGACCTCCTCCACGGTGGGCCCCTTGCCGCCCGCAGATGCGCCCTGCTGCGCCCCTCCCAGGTGCAGCTTCACCATAATGGGGCCCACGTCGGCCTGGAGCTCCTTGAGTTTGGCCTCGAACTCGTCCTTCTCGGCGAGCGTGTTGGAGTCCAGCCAGGACAGCACGGTGGCGCACTTGGACACGACCGTCTTCTTGTCGTCCTCGCTGAGCTTGCCGGCCGCCGCGTCCTCGGCCGCCTGCTTCACGCCGAACGTGTAGCTCTCGAGCGCGTTGCGCGCCGACACGCGGTCGCGCTGCTTCTCGTCCTCGTCGCGGTACTTGTCGGCCTCGGCCAGCATGCGCTCGATCTCGCTCTTGGACAGGCGGCCCTTGTCGTTCTGGATCGTGATGCTCTCGGAGCGCCCCGTGCTCGAGTCCTTGGCCGACACGTTGAGGATGCCGTTCGCGTCGATGTTGAACGTCACCTCGATCTTTGGTACGCCGCGAGGAGCCGGGGGAATGCCCGTGAGGTTGAACGTGCCCAGGAGGTTGTTGTCCTTGGTCATGGCGCGCTCGCCCTCGTACACCTGCGACAGAGACGTTGGTCAGGCAGGGAGCCGACGACGAGGTCGGCGACCTCCTGCGCCCTCCCACTCACCTGGATGTTCACAGACGGCTGGTTGTCGGAGTACGTGGTGAAGGTCTGTTGCTGCTTGCAGGGGATGCGGCTGTTGCGCTCCACCAGCTTGGTCATAACGCCCCCCGCCGTCTCAATGCCGAGGGACAGCGGCGCCACGTCCACCAGCAGCACGTCCTGGATCTGCGAGGACGTGTCTCCCGACAGGATGGCGGCCTGCACCGCCGCGCCGTACGCCACCGCCTCGTCGGGGTTGATGGAAAGGTTGAGTGCCTTGCCGTTGAAGAAGTCCTGGAACCACAAGGCAAGATGGTAAGAGAGAGTAGCTTGGCCTTCCCCCGGAGCATCAGATCTATGCTCACGTCATGTACTTGCCTGCAGCATCTTTTGGATTTTGGGGATGCGGATGGAGCCCCCGACAAGCACGACGTCGTGGATGGCTCCCTTGTCAAGCTTTGCGTCCTGGAGCGACCTCTCGACGGGCGCCAATGTCGAGCGGAAAAGGTCCATGCAGAGCTCTTCGAAGCGCGCTCTCGTGATTTTGGAGTAGAAGTCGACCCCGTCGTGGAGGGCGTCGATCTCGATGGAGGCCTCGGTGCTGGAGGACAGGGTGCGCTTGGCGCGCTCGCACGCCGTGCGCAGTCGCCGGAGGGCGCGCGTGTTGCCTCGCATGTCCTTCTTGAACTTGCGCTGGAAGTCGTCGGCGAAGTGGGTGACGAGGCGGTTGTCGAAGTCCTCGCCGCCGAGGTGGGTGTCGCCCGCCGTGGACTTGACCTCGAAGAGCGCGCCCTCGTCGATGGTGAGCACGGACACGTCGAAGGTGCCGCCGCCCAGGTCGAAGATGAGCACATTGCGCTCGCCCTTGAGGTTCTTGTCCAGCCCGTAGGCGAGCGCGGCCGCCGTGGGCTCGTTGATGATCCTCAGCACGTTGAGGCCCGCGATGGCGCCTGCAACGCGAACGACACGAGATCAAACATCGGCAACTCACCATAGGTTTTGTATCCACCTCTCCGGTTCTCCCGAGCGAAAAAATATACCGGCGTCCTTGGTGGCCTGGCGCTGGCTGTCGTTGAAGTAGGCGGGCACGGTGACCACGGCGTCGGACACCTTGCCACCCAGGTACGTCTCGGCTATCTCCCTCATCTTACTAAGGACCATGGAGCTGACTTCTTCGGGTGCAAAAACCTTCCGCTCGCCCTTGTACTCGACCTGAGGACACATTTTATGCAGGGCGATGTGGATCAGTCAGCAGGAGGGAGGAGGGTCGTGACCTGAAATGAGTGCAGTTGTATGTGCTGCCACGTACCTGAATCTTAGGTTTGCCGTCATCGTTTACCACGGTGAAAGGCCAGTGTTTCATGTCTGCCTGGATCTTCTGGTCGTCGAAACGTCTGCCAATCAGTCGCTTAGCGTCGAATACTGTGTTCTTGGGATTCATCGCCACCTGGACAGGAAAAGTATTCAATCATTGATGACATGTCGTCCAGGAATTACTTCCATCTTTCTCGGATTTATTAGACAATTTACGGGATCTTGGCGCCTGCGAGACTCGGGGTAGGCCACACCACAGTACTCGCGTGCACTGCAAGTAAGATGTTGCCTACCTATCAGGCGCTACGAGAGCTCACATACGCTGCTGAACTTTGCTCGGTTCTTAATGAAGAGTGCGTGCTTTCTGTATGACCCTAAAGGACTTACGGAGCAGGGGTTAACCCGGCCCGGCATGTCTATACCAATAACTAGTTCTGCGTGCCGGCATTTTGTAAGCACGGCCGTGCTTACAAATAGTCCCCGCCCCCTTTCCCCCCGAACCGTCTTTCCCCCAATTGTAACCATTTTACCGCAAGTATGTGCGGCGGGCCGCGGACCACGCGGGCCTCAAAATAGACTGCGCGTCGCCCGAGGGGTAGGTGGAGGTGGCAAGGGAGTGGTGCCGGGGCGGGCGGGGCGGAAGGAGGGGGTGGTGGTGCTATCCGCACGCGATGATGCATTCGCGCCAAAGTAGAATGCCGCCGCCGCCGCCTCTCGCGGGGCCGGGCACCCCGGCACTCTCTAGTGAGTACCGGCACAATTATGGCCTCGCCTCGACACATGGCTCGGGCGAATTCGATCCGGTGGCATGGGACGTGGTCTCCCCCCTGCTCCCACCCCCCTCATCTCTCTACGCAGTTCCCCGTCACCTCGCGGCAGGCGGCAACATTTTGACGTGAGTGACGGGATGGGGCCTCGGGGGCATCTTAGGCAAAGTGACGCTGGCCGTGTCGGGGCGCGTGGCAGCCCGCGGATGGGGTCCGCACTCACCCCCCCGCCCCCTTCCTCTCGCCCTTCTCGAACCATTTAGGTGACGCCTCCGAAAGGCTTGGCCGGTTCGTCACTCTGCAGGGGGCTCCGTAACGCCCCGTAAGTAAACACTTGTCATCCCCGTCGCCCTGCAGCTATGGCGGCGTATCTTGTTGGAGCCAGCTGTTGGACCCGGGAAGAGAGCCGACCGGAGCCTTCCCGGCCCGCCCGCCGCGAGGCGAGGGCAGGGGAGGGTGGGGCAGGGGGGCTCTCCTGCACCCGCGCCTCACTCCATATGTGGGCATCGACTCCGGGACTCTCCGGTGTCTCTGCCCTCGCGTCTCTCTCTCTCTCTCTCTCTCTCTCTCTCTCTCTCTCTCTCTCTCTCTCTCTCTCTCTCTCCCAGCGACTCATTGGGTCAGTCGCTCGCTCCTCGTCGCGTTTTTGTGCGGGACGCCAGGAACTCCTTATGGAGCCCGGTGGGCCCGGCGTGG